GTAGCTTCTATTTAATGCACACTGGCRGGCTTTATGCCAGCAGTGTGYGATGACGGGYCGAGCCCCCAGAGACCCGTTCCAGGGAGTGACCTTAGATGAACTGCTGGGTCGAGGGCCACACCTGCGCACTGAGGCACAGGTTTTAATCAGCCCYGATAAATGCAGGGAGTCAATGCGCCTGGCGAGGATGGCAATAGATAAGATAAAGGAGCCAGGAGGCGTTCCAACATTCATGGGAATAAAGCAGGGGAAAAATGAGGCTTTCGGTAGCTTTATTGATAAAGTTGCTAGTGCTATGCAGAGAGCTGGGGTCCCTGATTACTTGAGTGCTATTTTGCTTAAACAATGTGCACTTCAAAACTGTAACTCYACCACCAGAAGTATGCTAACTATCTTAGGTGCAGATTGGACCATTGAGGAAGCTCTTGAGCGCATAGCTAATATTCCAGCAGGGCCACAGGCAATGTTAGTAGAGGCTATCAAAGAGATGGGGATAAGATTAAAGGAACAGGCTCAGGCTAGCCAAAACCAAGTCTTAGCCGCCCTCGCGCCTCTCCAAGCCGCTGCAACATTTAGCCCCAAGGCTTCACTCAGTGGCCGGATAAAATGTTACCGCTGCGGACAGCTCGGGCACTCTTGATGCGAATGTCAAGCCCCAGGATTTGGTGTCCCAAATGCCATTCGGACTCCCAGAGTGCCGGAGCGTGCCATCGGCGATCGGGAAACTCCGGAGTTAGCGCGTCAAACCGCCGCAGCAGCCGCGCTCCGACACAAGTAGCTGCTGTAGCCCAACAGCCCGCACATCCAGCCTGCAACCTGCCACGGCAGGGAGACTTGGCTTGGACGTGGCAGCCTCTGTGACTGTAACGCTAATGAGATCCGCACCTGTGAAGGTCCCCAGTGGAATAAAGGGACCAATTGTAATCAATGGACAAGCAGTGGGAGCCCTGCTTTTAGGACGTTCATCTGCTTCTATGCTGGGATTATTTGTTTTACCGGGGGTCATTGATGTGGATTACACAGGGGAAATTTACATCGTGGTGTACACCCCGTTCTCCCCACTACGTATTGAGAAGGGCCAGAGGGTTGCCCAGCTAGTCCCTCTGGAATAGATGACAAAAGCTTTGCCTCCACATCGACAACAAGTGCGTGGAGACCAGGGATTTGGCTCCATGGGAGGGCTTGTATTACTGACCTTGGACTTAAGTAACTGGCCTAGACATAACATCACACTAGGATTTCAAGGGGAATCAATAACYCTCCAGGGACTCCTGGACACGAGGGCTGACGCCAGCATAGTCTCCCCGGAGTACTGGCCTAAAAACTGGCCCCTACAATCAGCTATGACAACAGTTACAGGCGTGGGAGGTTTAACGTTGGCACAAAAGTCGSCAACACTAACTGTTACAATGAATGGGAAAACATTACAAAATGTTTTTTCCRTCGTGCCACTGCCTCCCAGCGTGCAGTGTCTAATTGGTCGAGACATACTCGCACAATTGGGGGTTGTGTTAACTAATGAGCACCCTTTGRGTTAACAGCCATTGCTTGGACTTTCCCAATCCCACTCACATGGACTGTTAATTCACCAGTGTGGGTTAAGCAATGGCCATTAAAAAGGGAAAGTCTTAAACAGGCACACAAGTTAGTACAAGAACAGTATAACCAAGGGCATTTAAAACTTTCTAYGAGCCCATGGAACACCCCCATATTTGTTATCAAAAAGAAATCAGGAAAGTACCAACTATTACATGATTTGAGGGCAGTTAATAACCAAATGGAGCCYATGGGGGCCTTGCWGCCAGGACTGCCTAATCCTGCCATGGTGCCATGCAGCTGGCCACTATTGATAGTAGACTTCAAGGGCTGTTTCTTCACTATTGAATTACATCCACAGRACACCAGAAGGTTTGCGTTTACATTACCTGCACTGAACAGAGAGGGACTAGAGCAATGGTTTGAGTGGTTGTATTACCACAGGGCATGCACAATAGTCCAACTCTTTGCCAACTATATGTGGACAACGCGTTGCRCCCCATTCGACAAGCCTGGCCGGACATGATTATAWRCCATTACATGGACRATGTTTTGTTTGCTCAAGAGCAGCCATTTTCTAACACTCAGATACGAGTCATCCATGAGGAATTAAAAACACAGGGATTAATAATTGCCCCAGAGAAAATCCAGCTTACAGCACCATGGAAATACCTGGGTTGGTCATTGACAAACAGCATTGTTACACCACARAAGTTGTACCTGAAAACTGAAATAACCACCTTGCATGAGGCCCAGAAATTGCTCGGAGACCTACAGTGGTTGCGACCCATGGTAGGAATTCTGAATGAACTTCTAGACAAACTACGGCCTCTGTTGAAAGGTACAGAACCTACAACACCGGTAGCTGTTAGTGAAGACCAACAGACAGTGTTGAACCAGACCATGGACWGGTTCCAGTGTTATTACTGGAAGTGTACATAGAAGAGATCCAGAATTACCAGTAGATCTCACAATATGGTGTGGAGAAAAATATTTGCTGGGGGCACTAACACAACAACAAAAGAAAATGGGGGAGATATGGGTATTGGAATKGTTGTTCCCCCCATTACAGCAAAATAAAACACTTTTCCAAAAAATTGAAATGTTAGCTGAGCTTATGAAGAAAGGCAGGGAAAGAGCACTGCAAGTCATGGGTACGGAGCCAGAACATATCTGGATGCCAATGAAAAAGGATACCCTGACGTGGTACCTCAGCAACAGTGCGGAATTACAAGAGGCTCTGCTGGGAGCTGGATGTGTAATAGCCATGAATAAGATCCCAAATACCCCACTACAATGGCTAGGGAAGTGGGGATGGATGGCACGTCCCAAAAGATGATTAGTTCCGCTGCCAGATGCAATCACCGCATTTACAGACGCAGGAAAAAGAATGAGGACCACTGTGATCACGTGGAAACAGGAGGAACAGTGGAAGCAACATGTTATTGTTGCCACCGAAGAGAATTCATTGCAAACTATGGAGCTAACAGCTGTGGTGTGGGCCATGCTGAACATAACTGAGCCCCTTAACATTGTGACGGACTCTTTATACGTGACTGGAGTATGTGAGAGAATAGAAGACGCATCTATTCGGGAAGTACAGAATAAAAGGCTACATGAACTATTTATAAAGCTGCAAAGAGCCGCAATTAAGTTGCGAGAGCAGGCATTTGCTACCATCCACATAAGAAGCCACAAATGGGATATAGGACTAGGTGAAGGGAATGCAAGAGCTGACAGCTTGGTTTCAACAGCCCAGAYGATGCCGATACCCCAACAAATCCTAGCAAGAGAGGCACATTCGATGTTTCATCAGAATGCAAAAGGTTTACATCGAGAGTTTCAAATCCCTATCAGTGAGGCAAGGGCAATARTTAGAGCGTGCCCCATCTGCAGTCACCATAACGGAGGCTGTGGCCTGGGTCTGGGGGTTAACCCTCGAGGTTTAGAAGCCAATGAGATCTGGCAAATGGATGTCACACRTGTGCCAGAATTTGGAAGGCTCAAATACATGCATGTCACGATTGACACCTATAGCCACTTTCTATGGGCCACGGCACAGGCTGGCGAGAAAACCATCCACGTCGAGCAACATCTCTGCAGCTGCTTTGCAGTTATGGGAACCCCGCAGAAGATCAAGACTGATAATGGGCCAGCCTACTGCAGCAAGAGACTCGAACAGTTTTCGTGCCAATGGGGTATCGAGCACGCAACAGGAATCTCTAATTCCCCCACAGAACAGGCCATTATAGAAAGAGCCAATGGAACTTTAAAAAGATATCTGAAGAAGCATTCTGACGTGGGGGACCCCCAGGGAAGGCTGTTAAAGTGTCTCTTTGTCCTAAATTACCTATGTGTCTTAGGAAATGATAAAGTGCCTGCTGTCGTTAAACACCATCAATGGACTGACAAAGAAAAGAATCCAGAAGTTTGGATTAGGTATCAGGATCCAAAATCAGGCCTTTGGCAGGAGCAGGCAAAGGTGTTGTACTGGGGTCAGGGATATCTTTGTGTTTCCTCTCCCACAGGACCCCTTTGGGTGCCGGCGAGGTGGACCAAGGTGGCGATCCCTAGAATACCTGAGCCTACATCCAGTAAAGCAAGACCGAGCGAGGATAAAGAAGAGGACGCCACAGACCTTCCTATTCAACAGAAAGACTTACCAGATTCATTGAAGGACTGACAAATGAAATGAAAGAGGCTGAGACTTTGGAGGGAAAAGCTGTTGACAGGCCTGACAAAGGATCGAATTGTTTTTGTAGTCTATTTTGTTCTTGTTGCTTTGTTGTTGTTGCTATRTATAAAGTTTGCTTTCAGAAATGTTTAAYRGTTTGCTCTCGCAGGTCCTTCGAGCTGACTKGACCCCTTTTAAAAGAAAACGGGGGAAATGTGGGGAGYCTGTCCAAGGCTTGGTTGCGGGATAAGGGACCTGTGAATATTCTGGAACTGTCTGARCCGTTGGCTACCCCCGTGATGGCTAGACCYGTTAGATGTATGTAATGGTATAAGGGAGTCAGCTYGAGAGACCTGTAACAGCAGAGTTTGCCATAAAAGGCACTATATATCGTTAGCAAGCRYTAATAAACRTTAGTTACTGTTACTATSGTTAGGAAATGTTGGAGTAAGCAGTTMTTACCATTAGGAAGYGTAGCTATAAAAGCCRTGGTTGTGYGTGCAATAAACGAGATTTGCCAGATCAAGTGGTCGTTGTGCATCTCYCCCRYCRCCTGACAARTGGTAGCTCYGACACACATATATCTGGAATTTAACTAACAGCAAGGAACAGAGAGGAGGTTGAAAGGCAAACATTTTGCAGGAGGTTTGAGAAGACCAGGAGGATCTCTCCTTTGGCAAGAGCCTCACCATACACACTTTGTTGACAGGTTGATCCCAGTGAGAGGGAAAAAAGGCTGTGCATCTCCAAGAAATATCAAATAAATACTCTTGGTCATCTGATGGTTTAATTCATGTGTTTATTCAGCAACAGATTTGAACACAAATGTTAAACGAGATTTTGTAAGCAAATAGTCAGCCAGTGGCTTTCAAATAAATGTTCTTTYCAGTAATGAAATGCAAAGATACTGCTCTGACAGAGGTAGCACTGAAGAGCTGCAAGACAGTCTTCAAAGTCATTGTCACTCACTGGTGTTCTGAAAAGGACTGACAATAAGGCTTGGCCTTTGTTTAGTATGAAGGAGATACCATTAAAGTTTTGCTCATTAAAAAAAACCAACAAAAAACCAAAAAAACCCCAATAAACTACAACACCTTATTTAAGCTTTTTCAGTGTAAAAAGAAGTCAAAGTGAGAACAAAGGTAAAACAGAAAAAGTGCTGAGTGTTTCTTGGAAGGGACAAAACATTGCCAGTCTTTTACAAGAAAGGAAAGAAATGCTGATGATCATGACCCTCAATTTTAGAGTAGTTGTACTTTAACTTTTGTTTACTTTTCAGTCCCCTCCTCTAAGCTCATTGTCCACTGTGCCTTCCTTAACTCCTTACTTTCCTCTCCTGCCATGTAAAACTTCCTCATGGAAGGACAAAARGGTTCTTGGTAAAATACTTAAAGCTTCTGCCTTTTAAGTGTCCAGTCACATATTACACAGAAGGTGWAACTAATTACCAATAAAGCTCTACTAAGTCAAGGTATTCAAAGCTTTGATTAATTGGGAAATAACTAACCAAAGAAAATGTCCTAAGTCAGAGAATTAAATGCCACTGGCATCTGCAATGTGGGGAAGCAATTAGGGTAAAAAACCTTTGGAGAAACAAATCTTACACTTCAAGGGCACAGTCACATGGGAAAAAAACACCCAACAACATTTAAGCTTTGATTAAATAGAAGGATTAATCTCCCTACTCTGTTTTTKGAGAGAACTGAAGGGACTAATCTCTCTGGGGGAGGAATCTCCTAAAAAAGAAGTTAGGGGACAATAATGWGTGCTTAGAGGATGAGGGAAAGGGATTATAAGGGGAACTGGAAAATGAAACAGTGTACTTAATTTTCCCCCTTTTTGATTAAAAAAAAATCTAAATGCAACAATTGCCAGGGAAGGTTCAGGTTGCATATTAGGAAAAAAAATCCATCACTAGAAGAATAATTAAACATTGGAACAGGCTGCCCAGGGGAGTCATAATCCCTGGAAGTGTTCAAGAAGTGAGTAGACACATCTTTCAAATGTGATTTACTGGCCATGATGATAATCCATTGACRGTTGTACTTGATGATCTTGGAAATATTTTCCAACCTTAAGGATTCTATAATTCAGAGATTTACTGGCAGTGAGTGGTGCCTCCTCACTCGGGTATTCCACTGTGGTCAGCACTCAAAGCTGGTGAAATTATCTCACCCCTTGAAGGTGAATGAAAAACCCTCTCAATTCCCAAGTGGGAATTTGAAGGGTGAAATTCACATATTGAAGATAAGATTATTGCAGGCTGTCCACAGATGGAATCTTTTTCAAGTACTTCAACACTTTGTAAACTATGCACACAATACTTGTAAAATCTTTACAAATGCGATACTTACATTGTCAAATGCCTCCTCAGTTTTTACAAAAATGAACGTGTGAAAGCTTTGAGAGGATAAAGAATGTCTTGCAATCAACAAGGTAAAGAGAGTCAGTCATTGCACATCTGCAAAAGAGCTTATCTGAACTGAAGTGTGATAAAACAAATGTATTTTTATTCATGGACAGAAATCTGACATATGTAGCAGTATACAGCAGGTATAACATATGGCACAGCCCTGCCTAGTATCTTTCTAAAGTTTTTCAAGGAAAAACACATCAACAAAACTGAAARTAAATGGGCTATTTTATATGAGAGGGGTTCTCCCCCCTTAGTTCTGATAAGTAAGACTTGAAAAAAGTTCCTAATATAAAAAAAAAATCTTGAAAGTTCACCCATTTTGTTSTTCGGAGACAGCAGCCGTAGCTTTCTGTGTCTCAATGACGGATTGAGGCACCATGGTCCTTCTTAGATTTCCACTTCCCAAGCATTCCCTTTTAGTGGATTATCCCATGCTCATAGGCACACCATGGAATTCCTTCAGCTACCTCAATTTTTGCCTCTCTGAAATGCGCAGTCACTGTCATCACTTCTCGGGTGGAATTATTTCTTCCTAAATTAGCTTCAATTTTCTTCTTTCTGCTTTCACTTTTAGGAGATTTCAGAGTCAGTGACTCACCCCATGGAAGTTCTCTGCTGAGTCTTCTGTAGGTTGAACATATTTTCTTTCCAACAAATTCCAAACAATTCATGTTTTTCTCGAGCTGGCATTGGTTCAGGTTACATTTATAGGCATCAACACTGCYACAATCCAGTTACTACTGTTGGATAGAGTGAGACCTGTTATGCAATCACCTGATTTTCATAGCTCCTACTCAGTTCCTTTATTGTGTCCTTGAGACTAACTAAATCTATGAAAATAAATAAATCTATGACAATAATATTTTTTTTTACAATTTCACCTTCTTTTCCCTTTCAATAAACATATTAACAATGAATATTGATAATCATATTGCCTCATCACTCACTATATTCTGTGCTTTGCCATGAGAATTATTTCAACATTTTGTTTTCTGTCACAATCAACTCTCAAAATGAAGCACATTTTATGCAGCACATTTTCTCTCCCACCTGAAAACAAGACAACACACTTTCTTAAAAAGTTAATCTGGGATGCTCTGGTGAAAAGTTTGTTCAAATCCAAATAAAAAATGTCAGTTCATTTCTTCTTGAATKAATTCCTATGCAGCTGAAGGATGTGACTCAGAAATCTTCCAGTTAAATATATTATCCTGTAATAACCTTGAAACCCAAAGTTTATTACAACAGCACATTGTTGTCAGTGACAAGAAAAGACAAAATATATATAGTTTCAAAGACCAGTTTGTGGTGCATCTTCCTGATGATCAAATATGTTAGAAGGACCTAATTGATTCACCTGAGCTTGGCATAACCTATGTAAGTAACCTAAAATCAAGCTTGTTTTCYATTACAAAAATATAGCTATCTACAGCCCTTTCTTAAAAACCTGGTGTGGTTAGGACAATACTTGGAGGTTGTTTTATTGTTTCTCAGCATTAGAAACGTACAAGAGTATCATTAGGACAAATATTGCAGATTAATTAATGTTCTACATGGCAGCTTCAAATCTGCTGTGCTCATCACGGTGGCTGGAGTGAATTTCRGATACTATCTCCTCTTCTGGAACCTGCCATGACAAACAAGAGTTTCAGTTAAGGGGATAAAGACTTGCTTTTACCATAAAAGAAGACTGAAATGTGCTGGGAATGTGATTCTATTTGTATATATTATATATCTGTTCATTAACATTGACACAGCCCAACATAAACAGTCAATTCTGGATACTGAGGGATGAACTCAGGGTTTTCTTCATACAAGAAGGAGTTTAATTCATTAAAAAATGAATAAAATCATCTTTTGGCTTCACAATATTTTATTTACAAGAAACACATATCATATACTGCTTCTTGCCTTGGCTTTTTGGGTTTGYCTTGGCATAAAGGATGAAATTAAGATTGCCTAAATTAAGAATAYGTCAGACTCTGATAAGGAAGAGGATAGCTAGCACATAAAAGAGAGATAAAAGCCTCTACTGTGATATCAATTTCTCATCTCTATTTCTGCTTTTTTGTTCAGGGTGAGTCCAATGAAAAGGACATGACTAGCTAAGAAGTCCAAAAATGATCCTGAAGGAGGCCTTGGTAAATTCACAGCCTGAGGCAGAGCAGCATTTYTKAATTTTGARGAGTCAGCTTTTCTGACCCAYSWGTGCAAACYCCAAAGCCCAGGAGAGCAGGGCTGCAGTGGCTGTACATCCTCCAACACAATGAAAATAAAAGGAGGTTKTGTCTTACCTCCCAATAAGCAGAGTCATCAAAGCAGTTCTGGTCAGATACTTGTCCCAAGAAGGGCAGCTTTAGAATAGCACCTGCAGGAAAACCAGCATCAGACACTTAAAAAATGAAGAAAATGACCAAATAAATGTCCCTCAGAGGTGCCCTGGGAAGCCAGCTAAGTTTTCTGATTCATTTCCTCATCTATGGAAATACCCCCACTATCCTGGGACATCAGGTCATTCATTCTGAGAGACAATGCAGGTATTTTCATATAAACATAAATAAGAGCATAAGCAAGAGCTTGTTAATTAACCAGATTTCARAATGAAATTTTCTATTTCAGCCTGATTTTTTTGTTTGTTTCTTTGGAAATATTCACAAACACATGCAAACGTGGGACACCTTATTGAGTATGTCTTAAACTGGTTTCTGTTCAGAATTTTAAGTGTGAATACAGAGAAGAATTCCATCCAGAGCAACCTAATTATTCCTGCAGAAGTAAAACTCCACCTTTGGAGCATGCACTGAGTAAGATATCTAGAATCATAGAATCACAGAAACATTTAGGTTGGAAAAGACCTCCAAGATAATCAAGTTCAATCTCTGAMCAAACACCACCAGGTCATCAAGCTCAGAGGACTGAATGCCACTGTTCCATTGTTCCTTGGACACCTCCAGGGAAGGGAATTCCAAACCTCCCTGGGCGGCCCTTTCCAGTGCCTGACAACACTTTCAGTGAAGAAATCCTTCCTAATGAACCCAAACTTCATTTGAAGGCAAAAATATTGGAAAACTGCATTGCCGTATTTGAGTATCTGCCAGCATGCCATCACCTGTTATTTCAAATATCTATTCTTCACACAAAATTATAAGTTCTACATGGAGAAACCTCTAAATTTAGTTTTAGTCACCATATACATCGTACTGACCTGTCAGTGCTCCTCCTACCAGTGCAATTCCAAGTGTACTGCCCAGGGCAGCAGCCTGCCTGCCAGGAGTAAGTGGGTGACCATTCCTGAAAA